CAATTACCGAACAGTGTTCCGGTTTGGATTGCACCGACATCTCTTTTCTAAGTTTGGCCATCTCTTTGTCCTTTCAATTTTAGTTCTTAAATTTATTAATCAATCCTTTTATTTATGTGATAGGATTGCGTTTAAAATGAATATTTACCACAAATTAAAAGTATCTTATATTATTATATATATTATTATAAAACATGCTTTAGTTAAGGAGTTATTGATACTTCAAGTGTAAAATAATGACATAAAACCTTGATAAAAATACACTTTTAAATACTAATCAATCTACCTTTAGGATATTTGAACCCCAAGCATCCTTGGACTAGTCCTAAACATCACTTGAGCGTCGTGAACTAGGTTCAAATCAACTCTCTATCACTCAAGAGTTGGTTTTAGGTGATATCCTACGTGTTGTGAACCACATCCTAGCCAAACCTTGAACGTCTTGGGTTGCATATCAACCCAAACTCTTGATATCATCCACATGTCTATTTTTTAACTTTTGAAGCCAACATGACTCCCATAATATCTGGTGACAATGAAATAAAAAAAAAACTATTTTTTTGTTGTTTTAAAAATTCTTGTTAATTTTATTTTTAAAAAAATACAAAAATAAACAAGTTTTTAAATATTTTTAAATATTTTTAAAATAAAAATAAAAATACATAAAGGATACCAAACAGCCCTTAACTAACATATACAATTGATAGTTTGATATTTTGATTTATAAAAGACAAATAAGAGAATTATAGTAAGCAAATTCTGAACGGAACTTCTGATAAAACTTTTATGTGATGATGTTTTGCATTAATGGAGGTCAAGATTAGGCAACTAAATGCTCGACAATAAACTACTTTAGCTTTCATTGAATCACGCACAACTAATTGAAAGAAGATATTTTGATGAAATGATCTTTGTGGAGAACTTATCCGGCTGATTGGTGAATGCCAGCAGATATCTGGAGGCCAAGTTAATAACTTTAGATGAAGATTCAAGAGAGCCACTATTTTCACAATTGAAATTAAGCGTCACGTCGATATCTTAATCTAGCATTTATCGTCATTCTAGACTCATGTAATTTGGACATTGAGTCAAATGCAAGTATATGAATTGAAAATGGACAATTGGGTCCCCCTTTATTTGTCAAACCTCCATCCTTACATCCACCTTTCTCTTCAACGTATCCCGGGGAATTACATGAACCCTCTTCACATTTGAGTTTTGAGTGTATATCATCTTTTCTTTGCATTGATGTAAGTTGTATTTTTTGAAAAGATGTAAACAAAGTATTGCGACACTCAAAGCTTACTTATATATATATATATATATATATATCATACAGACTTTTCTCTAATTTTTTAGATTGAATCTCCCTCTTTATAAATTGTTGGAGGTATTCTCTAGAGATTAGTCTCTCTATCTTCCTCTGCACGAAGTAGCATTCCTCAATTTCATAATCATGATTACAGTAAAAGTTATAAAATTTGGTAGCCAACACCTCAGCACATATAATGGTGAAAAGAGTAGTCAAGAACTTAAGAGATATTAAATAATCATAAATAAACTATTTAGTACTCTATGATACCCTAGTATAAGATTAATGACATTAGAGAGATTTTTCTCTCTAGAATCAAGGGTGTCCTAATCTGATCACACTTATTTCTTCTTACTTGAATATGGTTCTTCAATGCCTATTTAATGTTAAGAAGAGTTTTTTCAATGGGAGCATACAAATATTCTCAGACTAAGAGTAGGTGTGGACTTCACTAATTAAGATTTTAGTGGCAATGAGTTTGAGAAAGTTTTTCATGTTTAATATTTCCTCATTGAGTCTCTAGAGATATGCTATGGTGCTTTTATCTCTTCATTAGGTAATGGCAAGGAGCTTAGTTGTATTTATTTTAGCTGGTATGTTATTAAATGAGAGATAAGCATAACACAAAGATTATGAAAGTTAAGGATGAAGTTGGGCTAAGGTTGTGATACCATACCAAGCAAACTCATGGAATGTTATTGGAAAAAATTTGCACATAGCATCACTCTTTTATATTATAAACTCTAAGATGTTTTTGACATTTATATATGCTCTCTTGGATCAATAAGATTGTTGTAGTTATTTAAGCTGGCTTTGACAAAGATACAATATTTGAAAAGATAAGTGTATAACACTCGATAACACAATAGAATCTTTCACTTTTTAATCGTGATATCCATCCTAAATAGCTCGTGCAATTAATATTCTTATCTTGTGTCTGAGTCTTTTTCGACGAGGAGCATGCAAGCAAGATTCAAAAAAGGATTAATAGCAATAGTTGCACTAGTGGCTAGGTCTTATTAAGAAGTGCTTTTTATTGTGGATTATCGTCGTTTTGTCATGTTCCTTTAGAAAACTAAAGTTGTTTTTGTGCACCTAATGCATGTAATAAAGTTGTGCGTTATCTTTTTTTTGTTGATGGAATGGAAAAGTGTTAAGCTATTCTTATATAACTAAAATAACATTATTGATTACTTGCAAATAATAAGAGGGTGGATATCTAGAGGTATATAAGTTACTATAATAAGGAGATCAATTATTCTCTCATGTTTTGAAGTTATGTTAATTATGAAAAAATAAATAGTGATAGGTAAAATGAAAATGAACTAGTTTTTTGTTCAATTCTCACATGTAGCATAATTAATGAAGTCATAAAAAACTTCAGTTTTTCATGGCTTTATCCTTGGCACCAAACTAGTCTTCAACATAGGATTGTCTCTTTTCTTAATGGTTTCCACAAAACAAGTTCTTTGTAAGAAAATAAAACACTTTAATATTGAAGTTAATAAATATATGAGAATAAAATAATATACAATAAAAAATAATAATGAAATTATAGGGTGTGTATCTGCATGTTGTACATGCCTATGAACTTATATGATTATTTATGGTTCTTGAAATTGTTAAAGTGCTTGGAATTGTTAGGTGCTTGATGATTATTTTCTTCTTATCTTGTGACCAAAATATTTATAAACCTTGATTACATGTGTTTACTAAAGAGTCTTTTATCTCTAAAGAGTTTACATATGTTTACTCTTTTATCTCTAAAGAGTAATGTTGCAAGTATGTTGCAAGTACCTTAGTGCATGCGGAGGAGTCATACCATTTAAGATTATGGTGCTTGTTATGCTCGGTGAAGAAGATGGTGATTGCACAATCATTGGTGTAGAAATGTGGCAATACTTTCCATAGAAAATGTGATGTCTAGAATGTGTTGCTCAATCCCGATAACTGAAAAATGCTTGGAGGTTATTGCAGTGCCGAAAACTCTACATAGAAAAGTGTGGTGCATGGTGACTGAATAAAATGCCTAGAAATGAGCAAGGACAACCTAATGTGTTGCTCAATCCCGATAACTGAAAAATGCTTGGAGGTTATTGCAGTGCCGAAAACTCTACATAGAAAAGTGTGGTGCATGGTGACTGAATAAAATGCCTAGAAATGAGCAAGGATAACCTAGCTTGGTAAAGAAGAAGAAGAAGAAGAAAGGCAAAAGGAGGAGACTCCAGCAGTTTATATTTGAATATTTATGTACCACCAGCCACCAATCGATCTTTAGGCCGGAATTTCCAGCACAGGCCCAGATTTAAATAGAGATGGAATTCAGGTTCATTATTCCACTTTTTAGAAAAATAGAATGGCTGGAAGGTGTGTATAAAATTACTTGCAATTGTGGGATCCAATAATTTTTAAATTAATATTGAAATTAGAAATAAATAAATAATACATAATGATGGGATTTATTTGTTGTTGGGCATGTAAGAAAGATGAAAAATGAAAGCTGTAGTTGAATTTGAAAAAACAAGATGTACAACTTACTACTTTTCGACTATTTTCAAGGGTTAAAATTTTTGAACAGTCATTTTGTTTTTATCTAACACTAATTGTTACATTTAGGACCACAAATTTATATTACTTAATTTTTTAATTTTATATATAATGGAATCCAGTAATACCCATAATTTTTACAAACTCCTATCAAACATTCTTTCACACTCCATCCTTGAATCTTACCTCTTAACAATTCCTTCCAATTTGTATACCTCATACCATGTTAAACCTCTTTGACTATACCCTTTCCTAAAGAATTAGCAAACAAGATTAAAGGGGGTAAAAATTTGACCCCCTTCAATCTAAAAACGAAACACAACCTAAGGTGTTGTAGCTTTCAAGAAATGATCAAAGTAGTTCTATAAAGAAAACAATATTTCTGGCACACAAACTTAAAACATATCATAGTGATTACAGAGAGTAGTGAAAGGTTGAGAAAGACCTCTAGCACGAAAGCATACACATTAAATCCTCTAAAAAAATGTCACAACCGACAAAGTGAACACACCTAAGATGGCATTTCTATGCCTTGGCTTTGCCAGCCTGGAATGATTGGATCCTCTGTTGTAACTTGAAGATCTGCAAGACATCAAAATCATCAAAAATGTAAATGGTCATTGATATATATGATCTGCAATGGATAATGCTCTAATTTTGAAACCAAAAGTCATGGTGCAATATACAATGGTGAAGTCTACATGACAGCACAGAGGAAGTTTATAAACCGGGACTGAGATTCTATCTTTCACTCTCCACTTCTCTATCCTCTTGAACCATGAATCTACATCCTATTTGATTATTTAAATTCTTTAAAGAAAAAGCATGCAAGCTAATATACCCTAACCAACTGATCTTTACCACCACTTAACAACATTCCCCCAAGCCAAAATCAGGAATACAAATAGCAAAATGCAGGCATCACCCCTCGTACAATTACTGAAAAAGTAACTGCAAGATGATAGGCATAATATTTGTGAAGGTGGTTGTTGATGATGACAGTGAAAATGAATGTACATGGAAAAAGAATAACATGAACATTTTTTTTCTAAAAGACAGATCATATTATAAAAACACCAAGCAAGCTCTAGGTGAGCAAGCTTGGAGAAAAGACATAATTAAGAGCGAAAAAAGAGCCCAGAAAAGGTCCTCCAGAAACAGAGTACCCAAAACTTTAAAGGTTACAAAGCATAGCAGCACCATGTCATAAGAAGTCCACACAAACCCCCAAAGTCAGCTCCCAAGAACTATCCAGAAACGAAACAATAATAGCAAAGGCCTTTTTATCAGCGATCAAAGAAAATTGGAAGTTGAAATAAGAAAATGGCTGTCAAGGCACCGAGAACTACAAGCTTATTACAACTCCACAAAGAAGGCAATAAACATGACACTACAATGATGATCAAATCTAAATACAAATAGCACAAACAGCAGCGTAAATCAATCCTCCTGACAGCTAGATAGTAGCTGCCAGGAGAAATCCAAAAGCTCTAGCTAGAAAATCAGAACACACCAAGATGAGAATGACAAGCACTGCAGGCCTAAATCACAAAAAACAACACCTCAAGATAAAATTATGACTAGAAAGGGAGAGGTTCAAGAAACCAGAAAGGAGGCATCTAAAATAAAATGCAGAGAATTCTACGAGAACCAGACAGCACAGAACACAAATAAACACCTAACAAGCCGCACACCAAGCTGGATAATTTGATGCAGACAGCAAGAAAATCAACCATTAAAAGACAGAAAGGTTATCCTGGAAGAGCAACCAAAGAACAAATTGAAGCAGGCAATCAACAACACAGAGATTGAACCACCGAATTAACCAAAGATTTTAAAGTAAAAGTTTTGGCCTGAGACTAAACTAGATGCAGAAGCTTTTGCAAACTTGGAAAGTGCATTACCTGCTGAGACAGAAAGAGATTGATCAGAGGAGATATCAAAACATGAAGTGGAAAAATGTAGTCACAACAGCATCTTACAAGAAATTAGAAAGAAGCCATGGGCAGAAAATGTTGATGAACAAAGAGAGAGAGAGAGAGAGAGAGAGAGAGAGAGAGAGAGAGAGAGAGAGAGAGAGAGAGAGAGAGAGAGAGAGAGAGAGAGAGAGAGAGAGAGAGAGAGAGAGAGAGAGAGAGAGAGAGAGAGAGAGAGAGAGAGAGAGAGAGAGAGAGAGAGAGAGAGAGAGCAGCAAAGCGAGGCAGTCAAAACAAGTCACTGAAATGCTCATAACCAAGAACAATAGAAGACCCGTGTTTTTAACTTTTAACAAATAAACCGGTATCAGATTTCAAAAATTTGGCTGCCACAGGTGAACTTTAACTATATAAACAGTGACAAATAAGAAAGAGAGCATGAACGGCAAGTGCCATATTGAGAGGCATATGACAAGGCACTTCAATAATAAACTGGATTAAGCAAAAGAAAGGAAAGCCACAAACCGCATCTTTCTTGCTGTTTTGCTTCTCTTCCAAATCTTGAAGAGTTCCATCAAGTCGCTTCCTATATTGTGAAAAGTTTCTTATTAGATTTGTTTCCAATATTCAGTTTTACCCATTGTACAAGCAAAAGCAATACAAAAGATCAGGGGTTTAAAACAAAATCTTCTGCAAGTTAGAAATCTTCATACTTTATTTCTAGTTGTTGTTAGTTTCCGCAAATCTCCCTTCTAAAAGAGGCCTAAGCAAAGCTCATAAAATTTAAACAGCAGCATATAGACATTGTCCGTTGAATAGGCATTTCCGTATTCAAGAAATAACAGGAAAAGAACACTGGATCGGTCCAACATATGACAGCTCAAAGAGTTATGTCGGTACAAGCTTGCGACCACATTTACTGATGGTAATTTAGCACTCGTTACAGAATAAACAAAACACAATAGGCACAAAACTCGATCCAGATGTGATTAAAAAAATTAAATTATTAGTAAATAAGAAAGAACAGCCCACGAAAAAAGGAAGAATATAGAAGGGGAAAAAAACATACAATTCAGCAGAGATGTATTCGATTCTTTTGCGCACATTAGCATTAGCCTCAGCCAAGTCTTGCTTCACAAGTACGGGACCAATCAATTTGTAAACATTTGCACCTTCTTTCAACAAGTCCAACTCCTATACATGAATAAAAACCCAAATCAGATAAACCCCCTCCCCCAAAAATAAAAAAAAATAGACCTACCTTGAGGACAAGCTCATTCTCTCCAAGCTGGATAGTGTACTTTTTCCTGACTTGATGATTCTTCGCAATATCTGTAATAAACAAAGTTAGCTAGGGTTTTGGAATCAATACAGCAAGATTGGTGAGGTAGGGATTTTATTTTATTTTATTGCCTTTTTGGAGTTTGCTAAGATCATTCGCTTTGTTTTCAAGATCTCGCTGCAATTCTCTAATGGCCGTTGACGATCCCATTCTTTTCTTTTCTTTTCTTTTCTTTTGGTTTGCTCTTCTCTCTTCCTTCCGCTCCCGCTCCTGCTGCCTCTTCTCTTTTATTTTCCCCCTCGAAGTTTATACGGCCCATGTCCTGGCCCGAGAACCAGGCTGTGGACCAAGCACATTCCACACCAGATTTCGGAATGTTTGATTTCAGCCTGCTTTTTTTATTTGTTTTTAAATTTTTAAAATAAAAATTAAATTAATTTTTTAGTATTTTTCATTTTTTTAATATACAGATATCAAAAAAAAATTTAATAAATAAAAAAATATTATTTTAATACTTTACTAAGTAAAAAAAATAATTTAAAAAATAATCAATATTATACTCTTAAACATTGCTCCAATAAAAAATGCATTGGTTTATTGGCATGCTTTTTATTCATAATTTAATTTTACTTTTTTCCTGTTATTGTTTTATATTTAATCAATTAAAATGCATGTAAAAGTTTTTTTATATACTAAATATGTTAGAAAAATATAAAAGTCATGTTTACACCAAAATGAAAGTTGGATAAGTTTTTGGACTCTTACATAAGAAACTAAAATCCAATTTAACCTAACTCAATCAAATCTATTACAAAAAATAATCATAAGAGAAAAATAAGTTTTGAAACCACATAAAAATTATTTTTTAAAAAAATAAATTAAGAAAAGTTTGAGTTTCTTAAATAAAGGATGTTTTTATCATTGTAAAAGAAGGATAAATTAGAGAATGATATATTGAGAGAAATTAACCTTTTAGGGATTTATCATTCTAAAATATAAGTGCAAGTTGAACTAAGTTTTTGTATATGTTTTTAGGAAAAATGGCTCAATATGCTCTTCTATTTAAAGGGTTGTTACCAATATATTCCTAAACTTTAATTCCATTCAATTTATCCTTAAAAAGTTCATATATTTCCAATCTATCTTTTTGTTAGATTTCTCTCATCAAAACTAATCAAATCATGACATATGATTTGCATGTGATGAAGTTAATTTTTTATAAAACAAAATACTTTTTATTTTAAACTCATTTTAATATGATATCAAAGTTGGTTACATTTAGAAGTTATACTTTCACGTTAACTGTTTAATAAAATGCGAGTATTAAACTTAAAAATTAAAGTATAACTGGTTATTTTCTTGATTGATCGAAAAAATAAATCTTGTTAAAAATACTAAAACTTTTATTATGAAATTAACAATCAAGTTATAATAATTACTTTTCTATAAATGTCGCGCATGATGAATTCTGATAAAAAATAATTAAATTTATTTATTTTAACAAGTTTAAGATTAAAGGTATTTTGAATATATAAAGTTTAACTTACATGGTATAATATTGTTAGTTTGTATGGAGAAGTCTAACTAAAAAACCAAAGAGAAATACAAAACCTTTAATAAATAAATTGGATGCAATTAATATTTAAGAATTGATTGGACACAAGGCTTAAAAAAGATGGAGCCACTCTCCCCTCCCTATATTTTCTTTTATGCATCTCCAAATTTCTCACTTATAAAACTCACACACATACCTTTTCTTTCTCATATGTGTATGTATGTATCGTATTATTATTATAAATCTTAGGTCAAAAAATATTGAGACTATTAATTATAAAAATTAAAAACAAATCTCTTTCATGTTTGTAAAACTTTTAAAAAGGAATTGGTCTAATAATCATTAGTATAAGAAAATATTATAAACTTTCCAAGTTTTTTTACCTATAAAACTCAAACATATTTTTTTTGAAAAGTTAAGCAGTACCATAAAAGTAATTGGTTGTATGAAACTAGTTAACACGTACAAGTCTTTTGATTAAAAAATAAAAATTTCCATTTAAATAAGCCATCTTCATTACTTAAACACATAATACAACATATTCTTAATGGTCAATAAAGAAGTTAAATAATTATAACACCTACACATTGTTTGATGAGTTATGTTCCTATCTTGGCAAACTACTAGTTAGATTGGTCAAATAAATTGATAAATAAGATTTTTATCATTTATAAACATTTCAAAACCTCTATTGTTCCTATAAATTTCAACACGTGAAAGTTCATACTTCTACTTTCAAAAAATTATGCATATTTCATAAAACACAATGCTTTACAATTTCCTTTAAATCCATTTTGATAACCATTAATATTTTTCATTATACATTTAACTCCATATATTATTTTATTTCTCTTATCAACTTACAAAACTTAGAACAAAATATATTAACTAAGTATTTACGTCCATTCTATCTCATTTATAATTTGTTCTAGCTAACATTTTCAAGCATAATTATTTCAACACTAACAAAACATACAAGTCGAATTAGTCTATTCATACACAATTTAATCATTTTTTTCTTCTTATCTATGTTCAACCCTTGGTAAGAAAATATTTTATGTTCTATTCTTCTATTTGTTTCATTTGTTCAATCTCATTAATTTTCACACACCACCAAACCACAATATTTAGTTGATTTCCTATACATTTATATGTTAAATCCTCTCATCTATCATTTCAAACACATACAAGAGATACATTATTTATATTTAGCTTAAGGTTTGTTTCTTTATAATTTTGATTAGTACTTAAAAGTGTATTTTTATCAAGGTTTTATATCATCATTTTGCACTTCAAGTATCAATAACTTCTTAATTAAAGCATGTTTTATAATAATATATCTAATAATATAAGATACTTTCAATTTATGGTAAATGTTTATTTTAAATGCAGGCCTATCACATAAATGAAAGGATTGATTGATGAATTTAAGAATTGAAATTGGAAGGATAAAGAGATGGCCAAACTTAGAAAAAAGATGTCGGTGCAATCCAAACCGGAACACTATTCGGTAATTGGATCATATGTGAAGCCAGAAGCTAGGTGACTGAGTTTTGCTTTTAAGGATATTTTACTGTAAAAAAAATAAAAAAGCTGACTTGTCTTTAATTATTTTCATAATAGCCAATGAATCCTGTGAAATCATCATCAAATTCCTAAGATCAAAGCCTATGAAGGATTTTTTTTTGGGAATGATAAAAATTTTAATACACTATTTCAATCTATAAATCTTTAGCTATATCAGTATTTTTTCACTATCTTATAGCTTTTATTAGTTAATAATGTCATTGTTATTTAAGGGCTTTCGAGTTCGAACTTTTTTTTTTTTGAAATAAAAAAGCTTGAAGCACTGAGGCAGAGGATGTATATATTTTTTTTTTATTAGCACCAGATATCCGGGCCTGGTCGTACTAATCCCGGAAGTGTAGAGGCCCTTTGCAAGGAATTTCCCGCGCGATTAATTCATGGGCCCAAGTCTGATGGTTCCATGAAATTCTTTGCACCTAGTAATAATCGAATATAAAATCTTGAACAGAGCACTGTGCCAAGTCCCAGCTCTTCTCTGCTAGGTCAACTAATGGAGTTAACAGAGGCTGGGATCTTGGACAGGAGAACACTGCCAAGTCCAAGCTCTTTTCCGCTAGGCCAACTCCATGGAGTTAACAGAGGCTGTATTGGTAAGCAGTAAGCGTGAAAAAGTCAAGAAAGTGAAGTTTCCAAGTAACTGAAACCAGGCTGCTTAACCTTTCCAGTCGACAGTGAACCTGGATAGATTCATGTGCAGGATCCTGCTTTTCCTTTTACTTCCTGCAGCATTGCAGTTTCTGTGGCACTGCAAAATCTTCAGAAATCCAAAGGTTAACTTTCACCTTAAAATATTTCTCCAATTTGGTCAACATCTTTCAGTTCTAAGACGCAATAACCACCCCATTTGGAGATAGGGGCAGTTTCTGGAAGAATTGATTCAGTTAATCATCCCGGAAAGGCAAAAAAGAACAGTTCATGCCTCCTGTTTCACTGGCCTAAAGCCTGTGCGTTAACTTATTTGGACTTGTCCAGTCTGCATGAACATCCAACGAAGCAAATATATGATGAAATAGTTTTGTATCTTGGGTGTTTCTGCAATAATTAGCTCACATAGCGGGGTACAGAAAGAAAGATAAAGCTTGTGACAATGTCCTTATAGATTGGTGCTTTCGATGGAATGCTCTTCTTAGATATAATGAAATGACATCTCGCTTGCGCAAAATTATTCCTAATCAAGCTTAAGTCACCATTGCCTATCCCATTAGTACAATGATTGTGCTGGTTTTAGGTTCCCATGTGCTTTGGAAAGTTAGGAATTGGCATCCTCAACAAATATAATTTTTTTTTAAAAAAAAACCTAAAAGTCATTTCTGATGTGAGCATTTGTTTATAACAATGTGCCTCTTCTGCTGATTCAAGATACATGAGATAATTTATTAATTCTAGTGTTTTGTGCACAACGTGTACAACTTGATTTTTCCCTAAATGCTTTTTGTTTGCAGAAACAAAATTCTGTATGTGTTTCTCATTCTCATGTGTTCGCGCTCCCTATTACAATATCGTGGGCATCGATGTCTCGATCGAGACAATGTTTTAAAGCTAATTATAGCCCTGAGGAAAATTTAGGCCGGGAAGGAGTGTGGTATGGTAAGTAACTCTCTGTAAGTCCAACTTTACCTTGTTTCCATTCTCATGTTCTTAATTTTTCTTAATCCTACTGTGGTAATTGTCCTTTCAACGTGTTATATATTGATGCTTGCTCTTCCTTAGAGATCAACAGACAGGTTATGATCCTCGAGCATGTGGTGTATGTTCTGTTTGAGATTTAACTGCTCGTTTTTTGAATGTTTTGGATGGTCTATCTAGTAATTGCTTAATGCCTTGGAGAGGATGTCGTAGGGGGGACCGATTGATTTCAAGTCACTTTCTATATTTGGCTTTTGTCCCACAGTCCTTGGTCGTTGTCCATTTCATTCTCCGACAGCCAAAGGGGACCCTTGTCTGTTATCCTTGTTTTTATAAGATTGTTCGTAAATAAAAATTAGTTATGGTTTTGAGTGATAATGACACTACTGCAAGTTATGGTTTTGAGTGATAATGACACTACTTTCTCAAGCATTTAAGTTTCTTTGAGAAAGATTCGAAGTCATTACCATTCGGAATGTTAGTGGATGAAAAAGGCTGAAATTTCTACACCAAGAAAAACTTGGTGATATTTACTTCCTCACCCAATTCTCTTCCCAAATGCATCTTGTTCAACTGACTCGAGGACAAAAACATTGCTACGTATGATGTGTTGTGTTGATATCATTTAATTTAGTGTATTTTATGCACTGAACTTAGAGTTAATGTCCAGTGTCTCATTATATTTTTTTTCTGGCATCGTTGTCAATGAGAGGAGAGGGGACACTGCTAGTCATAGTTGTCTGTACTGTATTGGTAAATCTTTTCAAAATCTTAATCTTCTGTTTCTTTTTTCCTCCAACAGGAGCAAGATTTGTGGGAATATCACAACCTTTCTTATGAGCATATATTGTCAACACATTTTTATCTCACATGCATCTGCAGATTATGGAAATTTATCAGAACCCATGATTTTAAATGCACTTGATCCTTCTCAGTAATTTCAAACGGCCAGTTTTCCTGGTTCATAATGCTGTTGACATTGCTCTTTTTCGAATTGATAAGGTCGGGGAAACTCATCAATTTGGAGCTTAGGGGCATAGATTCTCAAGGCCTACTCACATTTGTAACGCAACAAAGAGTTGAGAGCAGAGCTAGCAAGCATATATCAATAGATTCTTATAATCAATGACTTGCTTTATTATATGAGCCTTGTGTATGAGAATCAGAATAATGGATCAGTTGAGGAAAATGACAAAACTAAAGCAGGCTAAGCAATATTGACTCTGTTTACAAAGGAAGTATAGAAAGTAAGTTTGTGAGAAACATTCAAAGCATATGAATGATTACACTTCCTTTATGCTCTAGCTTTAGGAGCAGCTTGGATAAACAATAGAGAGTGTTCATGAACCTGCTTCTTAAAAAGTCTAATTGCCTACCAATTACTTGTTAGAAACATGTTTAAAGTAAAACATTCTTTTTTTTTCCTCATGCCTTATGCATTAGGATTCTAGATGGCTCTTTTTAGTTAGCTGAAGTATATGCATGAAACAGTCTCATGTATTGTTTTAATTTTAAGTCAGGTATTATTCAACTTTACAACTTCCTTTCTAGTTTGTTGCTAGGTCTCTTTGGTTTTGAACTACAAAATCAACAAAGGTTCAGTTAATTTGTTATAAAATATGACATAAATTATTCTACGAAGCCTTACCTAATAGCTTGGATTCATTGCTAAGAAATTTAAACTAAAAATTAAAACTTACTGTTAGGCCTCTCGAATTTAGTTTGAACTATCTAAAAACATAACCATGATGGTTTGAACTTTTGGATGGCATAATTGATGTTGCTTTGGATGCTTCAACAGACCTTAACAACTTTTTACTAGTCCTTTTTAGGATCAAGTTCCGATATGACTAGCTCATCCCAATGGACCACATCTGTACTATTGGCTTGTGACAACTACTAACCAAATAATGAACAAAGGAAATTTGTAATGGGAATCCATCTTCTCTTTGAAGTTCAAAGAAAATATGAATAAAGAGAAACTGGGGTAAAGGAGTGATGCAAACAGTTCTGCATAATGGGTGCCTGTGGGGCACACATTTCTGTTTCCTTTCCCCTTTTCTTTATTTCAATAATTAATATTCATGGTTTCTTGTCAGACAGCCACATACCCGATTGTTATAAAGAGGATATATATTGTGGTATATATATACGTGCCTTGAGATATATTCTATAGGCAGAGGACCTTTGCTAATACACCTACAGTACCTCTCTTTCCCCGTAATATTTCTAGCAATATTATCTGCTCTCTTCTCCTGCATATCTTGTCATAGAGTAACACCAATGGAAACTTCACAGCCTCTTTCTATTGAAAGCTTCTCATACAGTTGGTTAGTTAATCTGAAGCCATCTTTGGAAAGCCTAGACAATTCTCTCAGGGCCTCACTAGATGCATCAGATGAAGCTTCCTTCATTGAGATGGACCCAAGAATGCCACCTTCAAAAAGATTCTTCAGAAATTCTCAGGATTTCAAATTTGACTTCCCCATTTCACAATCTCCTCTTACTCTCGTCCATGCTGATGAGCTCTTCTCCGATGGCCATGTCATGCCTCTCTTTGTCGATCCGTTAAAGATGAAGGCTTATGATGTCTCAGACTCAACCTCAGCCCTCCCTACCTCTTCTCATGCACCAAAAAATGTGGTTTCAGCTTGTAAACCTCAACGTTGTTCTTCATTAAGAAGGTGCAGGAGAATGTCAAAGCAAATAGTTCAGAAATACTTGGATTTTCTAAGGCCATTGTATCGAAGAATTCGAGGCCACAGGTCAAGTTCAAGAGCTGAAAATATTGATTCTAAAGTTCAGGTAATGAAGAACAGGGTATATTCAGCAGAAACATCTCCGAGAATCAGTGTAGCTTATTCTGTCGATGATTGCTGGCGAAGGTCTTGTGATTCTGAGAGCTCTATTTATGAGGCAGTACTCCATTGCAAAAGATCCAATGGTAACTCATTCCTCTCACCAAGTTATGATTATCTACTTTCAATAGTCTCCATGCTGTTATGAATATTACTTTACAATGACAGTAGAAAAATCATCAGGTTTTTATGACATTCTTTCATAAATGTTATTTTCAGGGAAATAAATTGATGTCGTTGTACGAAGGAGTTGAAAAGAAGAGAAGGAAAGCAGCAATGTTGATATTCACATGGGAAAGAAAAAGAGAGAGGAATAAAGAAAGATCAGCAACCACTTGTTTCTTGTTCTTTTCTTCTATTCTTCTGGGAGGATAATGTAAATTTGTTTTCTTATAAGAGAGTGTTTAGAAGTTGTGTGGATGGTCGGCCATGAGAAATCTGGCCATGAGGGAGAGAAAAAGAAAGAAGAATTTAAGGATAAAATTAAAATTTTTTTTTTTTTTTTGTCTTTTCCTTTATGGGAGAAAAGCTAGGCTACCAGCTACTACAAGATTCTCTCCCTTATTTCTGTATAGTTTTCTTTTAATGAAATCAGGACTATTCTATTCATATAATATCTCCACTCTATTATTGTTTCAATCTCCACAGGTTGTCGTCGGGACACCTTTTCTTTTTAGATTTGTATCATTGCCTTTAAGAATGATAAACATTTTCAGATGCCTAAATGCCTACACTGGACCATGTTGTTGAACCTTACAGGACACAGACGCTCGATTACGCCCCACCAGGTTTAGCCTAGGGGAATAAGGATGAACCTTAGGGATATGAAGTTGAGGTGCATTTCCTAGGTTCAATCTTTTTACCTCAGTTGAGGCGCACCAGGTTTAGCTTGGATTTATCAGTGTCCCAGTAGCAGGGCTATTTACTCATGGTGATTTTATTGACTATTGTTGCTTGTTAGGAAAAACAATAACGCTAATGTAAGTTTAACCATGTTAATTTCTGGGTTTTGAATGTGTTTTTCTGGTCCGGCTTAGTAGAGAACAATATAAATTATATCTTTAATCTCACTTGACATTTTAAGTTTTTGAGTAGTGTTGGGTTTTTGTAAGTTTCAAATTCGAAAGGGTTGAAGTTTTTAGTTGAAATGATTCTTTTATGTAACTGAACCGTCGCGATACTTTGGTTACATGACTGAATGAAACTGGTTTTTTTCCTTCCACGTGCTTGCTTGTAGAAATGATCCTTTCAACTACTTTAAGCTTGTGCAATCAAACTTTGTAGAACCAAATGTTTGTTTAATACAATGGATTTTTAATTGCCTTGAAAGATCAATTGGCACGGAATTCAATCACAGGAGATGTTAATCTATTACAATTTGACAATATGGGCATGCCTGTATTTAAAAATAATAATAATAATAATAAGTCGGCCTGTTATATAATATGAACTCCGATGATGAGTTGCTTAACTTTCACTCTGTATGGAAATTCTTGAAAGATTTCTTGAAATTAGATGTCTGATGGTTAAACTGAATTTGAAGTTTACTGGCAGATGCTTGTCTGCTTGGTGTCTCTGTCAGAACTGATTTCAGACTATTTTTCATTTTCTCTTTCTCGGGAGCTAGATTTTCTTTCCTTCTTTTGTTCTTGTCCTATCCCAGTAGTCATTCTTTTCTTACACCTGCAGAAATCATAGTTTTAAATCTACAAGTTGAAGTTTACATGACATGAACTGTCACACAATTTGAGAAAACATAATTAAGTTAGGTGTGCCAAAATCATACTGTTTGATTAAGCGACGACAACTGGTTATTCGGATATCATTAGGAAAGTTTATGATTCCCACTGAAAAGACAACATGTTGATCGATTTTGCGACAGTCAAGAATTTGGATCAGAAATTCCTGAACATAATTTATAGATATCCCTCCTGCAAGCAGGTCTCCTAATGATGAAACAGAACGGAACATATGCTGCGTGAAACCATGGTTTATTTACGACTATGAAGTAAACTTCCATTCTTTTCTTGTGTGCAGTACGGTACCAACTGATCAAGTGAATATTAAAGCAAACACCAAGGCAGGTGAAAGTTCAACAGAAGGTAACATTGCTTCAATCTTGGGCAAACTTCCATTCCGCAGTGCCTTCAGACTGATTTTTCTAACACAATCATTGTTATGGACTCTTTTTGTGGCCATATCTTTGCAGCAGTATTGTAGCATACATTTCTCTTTGTTTTATAATTGTGCAGTGACAGAGTTTTCCTTGACCAAATCAACTGAATAAAAAACTTGGTTCCATAATTATCAAGGTTGGGAATTATAATAGATAATTTTAACTCATTTCCAAGGGCAAGCAAGAGTAATGTAAGCGGGTCTGAAGGATCTGATGGTTCTAAATAGTTGGTTGTGAATTTGTCGCGACGAACCAACCATGTAAATAGCCTAGCATACTTATTTACGGATAAGGAGGATGAAGCCACACTCAAATAGAGATTTACTAACACCTAACAAGAAGTCAAACAAAATTATCTGTAACTTTTAATTTGATTTTTGAATCGGATTTAAATTCAATTTGAAATTTTTATAGGTTTAATTCTATAAAAAGTTAGCTCGCTGTAACCAGCAAACTTTGAAAACACCTATAAATTAGACCAAGAAGATGCCTTTTGATTTCCTGTTTAATTTCAGATTTTATATTGTTTTTTCCTATTTGATTTAGAATTTTGATTTTTCTACCCGACCTATTTAAAAAGGAATAAATAACCAATGAATTTTAAAAACACCAAGAAAATGTTCTTTAATTCCTGATTTAATTTCAGATTTTATATTATTTTTTCTTATTTGATAGTTTTGATTTTCCTACCCCCACCTATTTAAAAAGTTATGAACTTTTTAAAGCGCAACTATATTTGAGAGAAACATTCAATAATAAAATATGAATCAAGCTCTAGCTGCTTAGACCCTACTTTGTGCCTGCTTTCTTCTTGACAAGCTCCGCCATGTCAAAGAGTTTAAGCCAAATCATTTGATAATGTTTTTCGAACAAGTCTGTCTTAGATCTAAGCACACAACAGTCTTTTCTGCAGATTTATTAATGGATTCTGCAATTGACAAATTTCTTGCAGATATATTGTTACCAAGTCCACTCCGAGTACAGCATAACAGTTCAACAAGAAAATTTTGTGGTAATTGAGATTTTAGTATTATCTGACTGTAGTACCTGAAAGTCTAACAAAGTGACATGATGAGTACATTTTTCTTTTAAGTAGACCTATCTTTAGGGACCATTCCATCTGATAAAAGCTGAGAAGTGAGAGTTTCCGGTCCCCTCAGAAATGGGGTCCAGTGTGTGATGTATCTTGGCCTCCATAAACACTGCCCATTCTTCCAACATCAGATCTCAAATTTCAAGCCATTGCGGAGTAACGTAACCTGGTATAGCTGGCCAAATATAAGCCATTAGGGTTGAAGCAGAACAGGCAAAGATGAAGAGGTCTATCACATGTCAACAAGTAGGATAGGGAGACATTGACAAAATGTGCTAGGAGAAGTGCCAAAGTATGATTACATTGGTTTTTCTCTTCCTATCTACTTCCTCTTGTTTTCCTCGTTGGATTTTCTGCTTCTCCACAAAAGCAGCACAGCCAAGGGTAGCTTTATAGCTTTTGTTTTTCTCTTGTAGCTACATCAACCCAGCGTGGGGACCGAGACCTCATACATGCTACTTGTCGCTGCTATCAATTCTTTGGTCACTGTATCTACTAACAAGACACCCCATGTCATAATAACAGCGCTTTTACCAAGACATTGCATAGAGATACAGAGATGAGGTCATGGGGCTTCTACAATTATGTCCTCAAATATTTAGGACGAGAGATTCAGTGTGAAAACTCACCTTAGAGTTAGTTTGTGTCGCTAAAACAAGACAAATGACCAACAAACAAATTACACGGTTCATTGCGCTGGAGTGTTTGTTTAAGGGCAACAAAAATTGGTGGGCAAACTTCACTCTCAACAGTTTTACAGGCCAGTAATTCTGGAGATATTTAAGAGTTAGTTCTGATAAAATTTGATTCTTAGCCAAGACTGACCAAAATCTTCATGGGAAATATGGTTCCTTTCTAGAGATTAAAAGATCATATGTTTTCATAGGCACTAGCTGCAACTCAAGTTCCAATACAATGATGAATATGGTATAAATGTGTTAAACAGTCATAATGAAATCCATTCTGCTCTCATGTAAATTTACAGGCTTAAAGCATGTTTAGACAAGAAACCAACATAAATGAACACCTTAATTGATCATGACCACTATCAAGAACGAAAATGTAACTTCAATGTCATATTGCTACACGATTTAAGGATTCTTACGGAGAATTTGGGAGCGTATTGAAACAACTAGACCAGGAGAACAAGACCTTGTGCCATGCCTAATTTTGGATGTACTCGGAATAAGGTCGTTGTTGCAAGTTTCAGGACAGCGAATGATACTTGGAACTTTCTCCCTTCGCAGACCTTGCACCACTCTTATGTATACTTGCATTAAGGGAAAGTCAATATCAATGAGTTGTTAAGTATTCGATATTTTTAGGAGATGAATTCAAATAATAAAGAAAGACATAATGCCGTAGCCGAATCGAACTGCTGATTATCACCATGAACAGAAGTGTATTCTAGTTTTGGATGTCGTCCCATGGAAGATCCAAACAATTTTCCTCTCTCCAAACAGTCGGCATCCCTTGTGCGTGTGGTGAAATCACATGCTGTTGGGCAACTCATGAGTTTCTTGGCTTGAAGTGGAATAAGGCCCTCAAATTTCAGATATAGGTCATGAATACCAGAGTTACGACCTTGCTTTGCATGATGAGAAAATAGAATTGCAAGCTGTAATAAAACTCAATAGCTTCATAGACCTGTAGCTTATACGTGGAGAAAAAATTAGTCACGGTTTAGGCTGAGATTATGAAGAATGTTAAGGCCAACGAACATTTCATCACTCTCACTTGTCATTTAGGACATGACACATCCTAGATTGAATTAACTTTTAAAGTTAAAGGAAGGAAGATATATATATAGCTATTCTGTGTTATCCTGCTTTGATTCCCTTCCCTTTTCTGCACGATCATATTCTTCTGTTTGTGCAGTGCAGAGATACACGCAGGTGCTGTCCTCAACATCACAATTTCAGATGTACCTTTGGTATAACTTCTCGAAAAGATGAAAAGAGCAATTTAGAAGAAAATCTTGTTGAGGAAAAGTTTCAATAAGGTACAATCTTCTTGTTGAGGACAGGTTTCAAGAAGTGGCAAGACAAATTAGAGCAGATTATGGATCACTAAGGCCACCGAATTGTCTTCCTTGTTGCTTAGGTAGTTGCAGAATAGTGTCTCAAGTTTTCCTGTTCTTTTGATTTACCTGGTTTTTGTTTTCTTAGAAAGTATGCTTGCAAAAGCATAGATATTACTTGTAATTATCTGATACAACACACACATCTTATTAGTTCTTTTGACAGAACTCTACTCTTACCGCATAAATCTTCATTTCCTTTTTGATCCATGATCATTGGAAC